CTTAGTTGAGGCTGATAAATAGTTCGGTGAAATTACTGCAAACCCAAAAGCTAAGAAGTGCTGAGGAAAATATATGCTTTTCAGAGAGAGACATCCTGCAGGCCCAGAGATTGAGCCTGCAACCAAGGTACATGCCCTTGGCCAGAATCGAACCCTGGGCACTTCAGTTTGTGGGCTGATACTCTAACCATTGAGCCAAACTGGCTAGTGCTCAATTCTTTCTTTCATGGCTTATATCTGTGTTCTATCTAAAAAAATCACCAAAGTGAAGGCCATCTAGATTTTCTTTTAGGAGTTTTATAGTTTTGCAAGTACATTTAGGTCTTTAATCCATTTTTATTCCATTTTGAGTTAATTTTTGTGAAAGGTGTAAGGTCTATATTTAGAGTCATTGTTTTGCATGTAGATGTCCAGTTATTCCTGCACCATTTGTTGGAAAGACTATCCTTTCCCTATGAATTTGCCTTTGCTCCTTTGTCAACAATCAGTTGACAATATTTTGTTGGTCTATTTATGGGCTCTGTATTCCATTCCTCTGATCTATTTGTCTGTCTTCCACCAAACTCACACTGTCTGTCCTCTTTGTTCCTCTCCTTCAACACTGTGTTGGCTATTTGGGGTCTTTTGCCTCTGCATATAAACTTTAGAATCAGTTTGTTGATGTCCACAAAATAACTTGCTGGTATTTTGATTGGGATGCATTGAATCTACAGATCAGGTTGGGAAGAAATGGCATCCTGAAAATATCGAGTCTTCCTATCCATGATCATGGAATCTCTGTGTATTTAGTTCTTCTTTGATTTCTTTCATCAGTTTTTTAGTATATTCCCAGAATTGTGGAACATCAGAGCTACCTAATTTCAGAACATTTTTATCGCCCCCAAAAGAAACCCCATAGCCATCAAAGGCACTATTTCCATTCCCATCATCTGCTCTCCCTCCTCCCAGCCTCCGGCAATAAGCTCATTGCTTATTCTATTTCATAGAAATAGAATCATATGATATGTAGTCTTTTGTGTCTTGCTTTTTTCACTTAGCATAATGTTTTCAAGGCTCATTTACTTTGTAGCACATACCAATGTTCCATTCATTTTTACTGCTGAAAAGATATCGCATTGTATGAAAAGACCACCTTTCTTTATTCATTCATCAATTTTTTGACATTTGGATTGTCTGCATTTTTTACTATTATGAATAATGCTGCTACAGACATTCATGTACATGCATGTGAGTGGACATATTTTTTTTTTTATTGTTGACAGTATTACAAATGTCCCCCATTTTACCCTCTTTGCCCCCATCGACCCAGCCCCTGCCCCACCCCAGGCCTTCATCACACTACTGCCTATGTCTACGGGATATGAATATATGCATGTATGTTCTTTGGTTAATCTCTTCCCATCCCCCCCACACACCCCTCATCTGTCAATCTGTTCTATGCATCCATGCCACTGGAGTTTTTTTTAGATTCCACATATAAGTGAGATCATGTGATATTTGTCTTTCTCTGACTGGCTTATTTAGTTTAGCATAATAATCTCCAGGTCCATCCATGCTGTCTCAAAGGGTAAGAGATCCTTCTTTTTTATATCCACATAGTATCCCACGGTGTAAATGTAGCACAGCTTTTTTATCCACTCACTTCCTAATGGGCTCTGGGCTGTTTCCAGCTCTTAGCTATTGCAAATAACACTGCTATGAAACATAGGGGTGCATATGTTCTTTCTGATTAGTGTTTTGGGATTCTTAGGATATGTTCCCAGAAGTGGGATCGCTGAGTCAAACAGCAGTTCCATTTTTAATTTTTTGAGGAAACTCCATATTGTTTTCCACAGTGGCTACACCAGTTTGCATTCCTACCAGCAGTGAATGAGGGTTCCCTTTTCTCTACAACCTTTCCAACACTTGTTATTACTTGTCTTGCTGATAATAGCCATTCTAACAGGTGTGAGGTGCTTCCTCATTGTAGTTTTGATTTGCATTTTCCTAATTGCTAGTGAGGTTAAACATCTTTTCATGTATCTGTTGGCCATTTGTATGTCTTCTTGGGAGAGGTGTCTGTTTGGGTCCCCATTTTCTAATGGGGTTGTTTGGTGTTGAGTTTTATGAGATCTTTATGTATTTGGGATATTAAACCTTTGTCTGAGCTATTGTTTGCAAATATCATCTCCCACTCGGTTGGCTGACTCTTTGTTTTGTTGGTTTCTTTTGCTGTACAGAAGCTTTTTAACTTGATATAGTCCCACTCATTTATTTTTGCCTTTACTTCCCTTGCCGTTGGGGTCAAGTTCATAAAATGTTCTTCATGACTAAGGTCCGTAAGATTAGTACCCATGTTTTCTTCTATGTAACTTTTTCCATATCTTATATTTAAGTCTTAGATCCATTTTTAATTAATTTTTGTACATAGGGACAAACTGTAGTCTAGTTTCCTTCTTTTGCATGTGGCTTTCCAGTTTTCCCAGCACCATTTATTGGCTTTCTTTACTCCATTGTGTGTTTCTGGCTTATTTCTCAAAAATTATCTGCCCATATACATGTGGTTTTATATCTGGGCTCTCAATTCTGTTCCATTGGTCTATGTGTCTGTTTTTCTGCCAATACCACGCTGTTTTGATTATGGTAGCTCTGTAGTATAATTAGAAGTCAGGGAGTGTGATACCTCCGGCTTCATTCTTTCTTTCTCAGGATTGCTTTGGCTATCCCGGGTCTTTTGTGGTCCCATACAAATCTGATGATTTTTTGTTTTATTTCTTTAAAAAAAGACATTGGCATTTTGATGGGAGTTGCATTAAACCTGTATACTGCTTTGGGTAATACGGCCATTTAAACTATGTGGATTCCTCCAATCACGAAGGAAATGGTTATGGATATGTCTTTACTTAGTACAGTACCACTGTGAATTGTGCTGTATGCAACCAATGACGAATTCTCTCAATCCATGACCATGCCATTCATTCAGTCATTTTATTCAATAAACATTAATTGAGCATTTGCTAAGTCCCGGGTACAAGATACTAGGCTCTGGGGAATCACAAATGACTACTTTTTCTGCTCTTAAAAGAATAGGGGCTCGTAGGGGAAGAAAGAAACCTGTTAAGAAATTATTTGAAACTTCAGCAACATATTTAGATGCTATCAAAACCACCCCAACTCTCCTTCTCAATACCCCCCTCCCCACGCCCGGGGTCCCAAACGCCAAGGCGGGCCTGGCCTTCCCGACACCGCGGGAGACACACACACCGTGAAGGCGCAGGCTCGCGAGGTGGCTTCTAGAAGGCGGGCTCGATCTTTGAAGCAGGCCATCTAAGGGGGCCATTCCTTTAACCAGGGGCTTTCACGTTACTTACAATACGCGCTCGGTGCTTTAACCCGCCTTCCTCCCCAGATCTACACGTTTCACGTCGTCGCCCGGACGGCCCACGCGCACAGGCGCAGGGAAGGTCAGCGAGCGAGCTCGAGAACGAACGCGACAAACACCTGCCTGCGCGGAGCTCGCGCTGTGGGAAGGCTTAGTCAGGGATGACAGGTCAGAATCGCCACCGGCACAGGCCGCGTCACCGGTCCACGCGAGGCGCCGCTTCTCCGCGGGGACTCGGCTGCAGCGCCCGGCGGACTCGGGGCGCGACCCCGGGACGCGCGCCAACGTGAAGGCGGGCCGCTCTGCAGGTAAGCCAATGGCCGCCTGGGGGCGGAGCTTTTACAGCTGACTGGCACAAACACTGACCAATCAGAACCTCACCTGGGTGACCTGCGGAGGCAGAGCCGAAGGTGGGGGCTGTAGAGGGGTTTTTAAGGCAACAGCTGTTTATTTACTAATTTGTAAGGAAGCGGTTCAATTTTTTAATAACAGGTTCCGCAGTAGTTGTGCATATAGCTTGCTCTCAGTCCAGCTGTAGTGCCTGTCTGTTTTTGTCTAAGAGCATCATCACCTCCTGCTGAGAAACGCTTAAAGCAATAGTGAAATTCGAACAGGAGCCACTACTTATTTACAGACTTTTCCTCTTAAGCGACAGTGTTTGGTCTGGGGATAGATAAGGGCCACAGGGCTGTTATTCCTGTTCAAGGAGCTGGTGGTACAGCATAAAGAAGCCAAAAAAAAAAAAAA